AAAAAATGGGATCCTATAGGGAAAATTCACTAAGAATTCTATATCTCGATAGAAACAAGCTAGTAGCACGAATCCTTTTAGGGTTTTTACCTACACTATGAGCCCTATCTATGAGCAAAATATGAGCTCAAACGGAGGGTATCACTTGGTGAGGTTCCCTTGTAAGTTTAGGAAATATTTGAATTTCAAGCTAAGCCATAAATCGTAGAGCAGCTTTTGGTCCGCTTGCAATTAAATAAGCTCCAGTTAATGCTTCAACTGCATCTGCAATACTTTTATCTGATATTAAATGTTGAGTAAGTCGATCATATGATGGTGTCCATTATTGTTTATTAATTGATGTTGTTGGTGGTGGAAAAATAGGTGTTGTTTGATTATTCAACATTGTTAACGGCGTTGGTGGAATTGATGGTGATGATTGTAAATTACTTTTTGCTAATCTTCTTTATTCACGACGTTCTTGTAATTCAATTCAATCAACATTAGTTGTTGATTCAGATTTTGTCCATAATTCTACTCCTGAACTTGATAATAAACCATATTCGTTTCGTAATTCCGATGTAAAGAGAGGTCTAATTAAAAAAAAATTACTAATTATTGTATTTTTTCTTCAAAACCTACGGAATCCAATTTTCAAATGGTTCAAATTTTATGCTAATTAAATATTCTCCTAATGATTTTCGTTTTCCGAGCTCATGTAAATTATAATTTGAAACACTTTTTGAATGAAAAAAACTTAATTTTCCTCCATGTATCTGTGTATATGTACAAAATATATAAACAGTAAAGACTTGTTTAGGAAATGAAACTCCAACTGTTTCAAGACGTTCAAGGCTAATTCCACCACCTGTATCTGATAATATTTATGCTTGTAAAAGCGATGCTGGTGATGGACCTGGATAAGATCCAGTTAAATATTCAAAATCTAAATTTATATTTAATGTTTTAGAAAATTTATCAGTTAATCCACTGTCGTGTCCATTTTCCAATGAAATCAAATTCGAAATTTAAGATTTGGGTATGGCTGTGAGTGGATGCGAGAGATGGATAGAATATCCACACCCATCTTCAAGATGGTTTGTTTTGCGTTCTAGTGTGAGAATGTTAGTGGCTATTCTTCTTGTTTCACTTGCACATTGTCTCACACCCACATCCACAAGACATCAGTCGAATATTTAATCAAAAACATTTATTGAACACTGATTTATATGACTTATTATCCGAAATTAAGAGATCTCTATTAACAAAAAACAAAATTTAATCAAGTTATTCATTCTCGATTTTCAAAATAGATACAATTTATAGATGCAGAGTAAATATTTCTTAGTATAAACTTAAATATCGTTAAATTCCAAATTGGTCATTTATTTCACTTTCTTAATCAATCGTAATCTCACATAAGCCATTAAGAACGACAATACCGCCATTATTATTAGAGCAAGAAAATATTTCCACAAATCCCAGTTAGATTCATGATCAATCGATCGTTTTCGTAAAATATCAACACCTGATAAAGGACATAGATTAGTTTGATTAGCCAAACAAAACTGAATATTGTGAAATTCATTGATCGTTAAGAC